TTATTATACATTGATCTATCCTTAAAAGTCTTTACTTATAGACTAATACATGTTATTTATGGATTAGTAATTTTTTGTTTCATATTAAATTTAATTATATAGCATTAATAAAAAAAATTTTATATATATATCATTGAATTATTTCTAAATAATACAGAATATAACTTAAAAAAATTACATGCAATTTAAATTAATATATATATATATGTATGTTACACAGGTCATTATATACTATGTTTACGCACACATATATACTAATTGTTTGTTTTCCTATTATATGTATATATATAAAGATCATTTGAGAAACGTAATTATCATATTCATATATATGCATTAAACATAAAAATCCTATTATAAATTATATTTTAGGATTTTTCTAAATCTAAATGCCTAATAAACTATTAGGAATTATTACAAAATATATATATATATACTTAATATTATACATACGTTGTGCTTGTGTACTATTAATTTTATAGGTAATATAATTATTTTTTTATTTACGAATTAATGAATAAATTACGTATCCATATCTTCTATATTCGTATTTCATTGATTTTTTGCTAAATTTAAATGCATATATTACCACATTTCATTGTCATAAATGTACATATTATAGGCAGATTATATATATGGGATGTTTTTAAGGATATTTATATAATTTTTTTTTAATAAAGAATGATATTAAGTTTTCATAATTATAATGCATAAATTCATATATAAAATATTATGGAGTATATTTTTCATATTTTGAATATTAAGGAAATTTAAAATATAATCACTCTACAATAAATTAATATAATATAATTACTAGATTATTTTCATGAAAAATATATAATTTTTTTTTTTTTTTACTAGACTATATTCTACAATGATTATTGCAAATTTTTTTTATAGTTATCGTTTAAAACAAATAATATAATGTATTATTAAGCACATATTTTTAAATGTATTAGAAGTTATATAATATAAATAATACGTGATCGTTGGCTAATCTAAAAAGAATATGCATATATAAATATAATCATGAAATATAACATTTTCAATTTATTCTCGTGTATATTATAAAAATAAGTATATGGTGTTGGATAAATTAATAATATATCTAGTTTTATATTATTATATATTCAATGTTTATACGTTTTAATTATTCAAAATATCATTTAATGGTAGAAAAAAATAAGTACTATTTAATTACCATATATATAATATATAGAATTACAGATTGAATATAATATTATTTATTACAAATAATAACATATATAACAAGGATACATATAATTATTAAATTGAAAAGTATAAATTTACCCATAACAATACTATTTAACAAAATAATAAATAAAATATAATATATAATTTATCATTATAGATAATGTCAGATATTCAAAAATAAAAAAAAAATAAGATCTAAATAATAACAAATGGAATTTAACAAAAAAAAACCTATATATATAGATAGATAAAATAAATTATAAAATTCATAATTATAAAGAATAACGAATAAATATAACAGAAAATGTGATAAAAACATATATAAATATAAATACAGAAATAAAAATTATTAACATAAGCTCTCAAAAAATATAAATAAAACTAAAAACTAAACCCTGAACACTGAAGCAAAACCAATTCTAAAAGAAACATTTATTCTTATTTGAGCTATAGAACGTACATTATAAATTTTAATTGGTTTCACATTAATAATTTTTTATTTGAAATACATGAATTTGTATAGCATAAATTGATATAATGTTCGCAAAAAGAAATAAAATATATAATAAAAAAAAAATATATATATAAATTATTCTACAATTACCTAGAATTAAACAAAGAAAAGTATATTGTTTTGTAGGATTTATGGCTTGTGCAATATAGATTTATAATGTTTACAAATATTTACATTGTTGAACAGAAAACTAAAAAAACATACTAGTTCATTTAAATTTAAAGTTCGTATACTTAATAATACAAAAAAAATGATTATATATTACATTTACGCATAAATAGAATTTTTCATTTTCATATTCCTTTATAAAACAGCTCTTGCAGTAAAATAAATGTATTAATAATATATATGTATATGAAATATTATTTTTCATATACATCAACGTTATATATAAATTATAATATATTATATAATTAATAAATTGTCTCTATCATATTTTTGTAAAATTAATTTTAAATGCTATAACTAATTTAATATAACTTATTATATGTGAATTACTAAAGAATTAACCATGGAAATCATTTTCTTTTAATCTATTATTCTATATTTTTTAAATTAAGTATTACAAATGTTTCTATATAAAATGAAATTTATTAAAAAAATGTTATATATGCATTCATTATATTAACATATATAAGCACATATAATTTTTTATTTAATATACTAGAAAAATAATGCATGTTATATATATAAATTTGTATTTATTTATATATTTTAATAGCATTTTTCATTTTTTTTTTTTAAATCTTATGTATAAAAACATTTACGTACATATGTCTAACTGCATAAAATTTTTTTATTAAATGATTTTTAGTTATTTTAATTAAAATTTTGCAACATTTTTAAAAGTTTATTTAAAAAATTCCTCTTATTATATGTTCATTTTTTTAGTAAAGGGCATTTGATTTTACTTAAGTGTTCTTTTTTTATATAGATCATATGAAATTATAAATAATATTATATGAAATGGAGAGTTCAATTGTGCTAATAAATTATTATAATATATATCACTGCATTAAAAAATTTATGTTTCACTCATCTAATTGATTTTACATAAATATTTTCAGAAAAATGTATTTTCTCTCACACAATCATTTTTTCTTCTCTTTAGTATAAATATGTGGATATATTCACTGAATGTAATGGTATTATCGACGGGTTTATCACAGGAAAAGTTCCTAAAAATCTGGAAAATACGGATAAGATTTTTCAAAAATATAACATATTAAGAAATAAGTTCACTTTGAATGAATGTGACATAGTTTCCTCATATTTAATGGAAATAGATTCAAATATTCGTCCCCACAACATATCATTAGAAGCCGGTGCTTTATTCTTATATTATTGGATACATGATAAACTTAGTTATAAGGGTATAAGTATATATACGAAAGATGTTTATAATGCGTTTATAAAAGAACATCATCAAACATATGGAACAGATGTTTTCAAGGACTATATTGATATAACATTTAGAGATGGCGTAATGAAAAATGTGAACTCTCTGTATGATATGTATTCATGCCTTAATCATAAAAAAGTTAATGGTTCATATGCTAAGGACAACAATTTTTGTAATTCATTAGATGTTTTTGTAAATAAATATAATGAAAACATTGGAACATTAGCCAGTAGAATTATTGAAAAAAAAATATCATTACCTTGCCAAAAAAATATGGCTGTTACTATATTAATTACAACGGTCACAGTTTTATTAATATTACTCTTTTTATTTATCTTTCTTAAGGTTTATAGTGATATTACTTATATAAATATAGAGTATAATATAATTTTTCTAATTAATTAAAAAAAACTATAATAATAATAAGTTAATTATATTTATAATATATATGAATTTTTTATTTTTTGTTAGTTTGGTTCACATGGCCTTTCACTTCTGCATAAAATAAAAAGTATAAAAAACACATGGAATTATATGGATCAAGAATTGAGAACATCCCAAGAATCATATATATCAAACATTGACTCTAGAGATATAGGATATAATTTATTATATGATTAGTCCTAATTCTGTTACTAAATATATAATAAATATAAAATATATTTTTCAAAATATATATAAAAAATAGTAAGAAAAAAATATAAGTATATTACCCAAAAAAATGTAGAGAAGAATGAAATAAATATTATTGTACATTACAATAAATATATGTATTAATTTATAAAATTAATAAATTAAAAATAAATATCAAGTATCCTAATAATATTAAAAATATTAATCTCCACGAGTGTGAATATATAAAAAAAATGCGTTAAATATATTTAATTTTCTTTGTTTCAATGTATCATAGTTTCCTTAAGTCCTACATTTTTATGTTATAATGCATAGTAATATAAATAATGCAATATTATAAATTATAGGCTTTTTAAATAAGCATATAAAAAATTTCTTAAGAATTAAACACATATCATATTAATTATTTCTATATATTTATTGCTATTATATATTATTGACAAAAATGTATTGAAAATTATTAAATACATATAAACAACTAACTATTTACTATAGGTATTTTTGTATTCATTGTAATATGATTTACTTCGAAATCATATATATGTTGAACTATTTTTCGTAATAATATAATAATTTTAATTACACAAATATTTTAATTGTATTAAGAAGGAAAAAAATCTATAAGTTATCATTTATATTTTTTATTTTTTTACATTATTGCACATTTTTAAAATAATTCTTCCTTTATTTATAGTATTTCATCTATTATCCATAAATTATAAAACTTCTATAATTTTAAGTGAACCATTTTGTATATTCACAAACTTTGCAAAAATGTAAAGAAATAACACATATATAATTTTATAAAAGCACAAAAATTACGTTAAATATATAAAATATTTGAAATTAGTGTATTTTAATTGTAACGAATTACATTACTATTTTATTAATATTTGTATTATTTGACTTTTTGCTTTAAAAATGTGAAAAAATATATGAAATAACTTTTTTACATTTAACATTCATATGAACTATTTTAATATCTCTATAATATAATAACGGCTTTTGCGACGTTTTAGTACATATATATAGTATTCACAAATAATAATTTTTTTAATGTAATTTCACAAGTAAAAACTAAATTTATGAAGAAATTAAAAGTAATTAAATAGGAAAAAAGTTTAAATCCTATCAATTAAATATCATATAAGAATGTGTGAGATACTCAATAGTTCTCGATATATAAGCATGTAAATAATAATTAATAAGAATTATTAAATTATACATCTAATATTTTTCTTATAAAAAAATTCTATATTCTTTTAGAATATAATATAATTAGTATTATATAGGGAAATCATTTAATGTGAAATATGAAAATCATATGCCTAAAGAATTGTAAAAATTTAATAAAGAAACAACTATTACAATAAAATTGAGATAATTAAATTCTTTCATTTCCTAACACTTTCAATGTATGTAACAAACCTAAGGTTTCTTATAATTTCATAAAAAAGAGACTCATATATTAACTTTTAAAACATATAACATTATAAAAAACATATATCACATAAGTTAATAATAATTGGTTAAATAGAAAACTCTAATACTTTCAATTAAAACAACCATGTAAAGAGAATGATATCATATATTCTATTTATTATAACTACAAATATAAATTATCCATAAGGTTTTTGCTGGAAACTTTTGAATAATAATTAATATTGATTTAACTGTCTTACAATATAATACATGGAAATCATATGATTAACCTAATTTCATATGAGAAAAAAAAAAAAATATGCATTCTTATTATATTATATAAATATATTTACATGTATATAAATGTATAGTATATTTAAAATACATTAGTGCTGATAGTGAGAAAGTGTAAAAAAAATAATGATTATTTATTTATTTTCTAGAATTATGCTAAATAAAACATATGTAAATAAACTATTTTAGTAATATAATTAATTATAATTAAACTATAATGTAGAAGCATGTACAATACACACAGGCAATCATAAATATATTGAAATGAAACCTAATCATTTAAAATATAATACATTTATCAATTAAATATCTATGAAATTAATAAATCATTTAAATTAATAAATTAAAAAAAATAATTATATAAATTTTTTGAGAAAGCATATTATTTTACACTAAGGTAATAAAATACATTACATGTGGAGTATAATAAAATATTAATATATATATAAATGCTTAAATATATATATTTTATATTAAATTTTATATATATACTATTTTTATTGAAAATATCATATATAATTCTATGTATTACGAGTATAATATTTAATAATATAATATAACCAGTTATCATATTTTAACTTAATATATATATAGCTTCTTTACAAAAGAAGCAACGCAGCTTTCATTTCAAAAATAATACACAAATTAAGGCTTTCACAATTTTTTCAATTATAAAATAAAATAAGTTATGAAGAAAAAATTATTTTTATAATTGTTTAATAAATATTATATTCTAAATACCTGAATAGAATATATAAAAATTACTATTTATTAATTCAAAATATATATTCTATTCATTAAAATATAATTAAAATTCACGCTTAAGTGATGAATTCGTTATTAAATCATATAGATATGATAAATATTATGTATTAAAAAATGAATTCATAAATTACAATTTAATTTACGCATAACAGCAAATATATTATGTATTATAAGCGATTCATATTTTATGTAATTCTTTATTTTGGACGATATATTCTCGATTCATAGAATTATTTAAATATAATTATAATTGATATAATATTCCTAATAGATGTATATTTATAATGAATTTTTCAATTACATAATCCAAAATGATTAAAATAAATTAAATCATTATAGTATAAAATCAATATTTTAAGAATATAATGTTTTATATTATTATTCTTATATATGTTTTAATAAATAAAAATTTAACACATTAAAAATATAAAAATTGAAGAAATAATATGTATAGATAGCTGTAGTTTTTATAATAATATATATCTCTTGCATATTTGTGTTATATATTCTGTATAAATAAACTGTTACAATTATATAAATTTATGTGTCATAAAAAATAAGTATAGAATAATATATGCAATTATAATAATAAATTATCTACAATAATAAATATAAAATAATATTTTAATTATTTCAATCCATTGTAAACATTTCACGTTTGGCCTATATACAATTTAAATAGCCATGAGAGACTAATTTAATAATATAACATAGAGAAATATACTAATAAATAAAAAATACAAGAGATATCAAAAAATTAGAAATATAATACCTAAAAAATTAAATCTAATTATTTTTCATAAATATATTTACCCATAATTATACATAATTACATCAGTTGATTGTTTCCTTGGTAATTATATTTTGTGTATATATTCACACTTGCCTATGCAATGATAAAAAAATTAATCTGAGTAATTTATATAGATTTAGAGAGTCAACGAATTATGTATATTTCAATAGAAAATTCCGAAATTTAAATTAATGAATGAGTAAATATGATACCAATATTGATATGAAGTATCCTTATATATATAAATATAATATATATTTATAATCTAATTATATATCACTATTAATGAACATGATCATGAGATTATAGTAATATACAATTTAATGTGTTCAATTAATTTACAAAATATACATACATTCTTTATTTATTTGCATTAAGTCTAAACATATATACATACCATATATCAGTAAATAAATTTACTCGGGATTTAGGGGGAAAAAATTTACTTTAATTACATAATAACAAGTATACTGCATTAATTTAAAGACATTTTTACTTGTAGATGCATAATGAACTCAGAAAATTTTGATATATGATATATTCCTGTGGGTCTTAATGATTTTTTCTTATACAGAGCTTTTTATAATCTTTTCTACTTTATATAAAGTATTTAATATAAAATTCATTGTACATTGGAAATGAAGCACGCTTAATACATTATATTGTTATATATTTGAATAATTATCATCATTTTCAAAAATTAAATTCTACTAAATATTCTTTATTTATATATTTTACATTTAACCTCTAAGGTTTCAATAAATCTAACATTCCTTGTAATACATATATATACATAAATTATTATTAGAGCAATTATCTAGGAATTATAGTTAAAAAATAAATTCCTTTCTGTTATCCATTCTCAAAGTCAAGCATATATTGAGAATTTTATCACAAAAATTATAGCTAATAGTTATATAGTAAGAAGTAAATATATTGGCGATGGTCAGAACCTAATGCGTTGTAGGAGTGTTATATAGGTTTTGGAAATTCAATTATTTATCTATCCTGTATAGGGGATCATCTACGGCAGAATTCGATAAACATGCCTAAATATTCATGAAACAGATAACTTATAAAGGATGAATATGAATGTAAAAAGCAAAAGAGTTCCTATTTCAATTTTTTAATGATGTATAAAATATATGACTTTTTATTTTGATAATGATTACTTGATAAATATACAAAAAAAAACAATAGAGAAGCATATTCATAGAATGTTGATTATTCTTATTAATAAATGGAAAAGCATATACGCGTATTATGAAACTAATATAAAGCAAAATAATACTATATATAGTGTTGTAACTAAAACAATTTTCATTAAATATTTTTCTTTGAATTACTAATATCAAAATTCTAATAAGCTTAATAATAATGCTAATATTAATTTGACTATATTATATAAAAGTTTTAATACATCTATAGAAAAAAGTATTTTAACTACAGTAAATGCACTATAGGGTATCTGTATTCAAGAAAATGAACATGCAGAAGAATAATCAAGAGAAATATATGAACTTCATATATCTAATCCATTTAATAAAAAAAGATTTCTAATTGTATATTTATTTTATTCTGAATTCCAATAAAATACATTGTATATTAAAAGTTATAAAATATTTATACCTTAAACATTATTAATAGAAAATACGATTCATTAGTAATATCAATGAAAAAACATTTATAATTTAATATGTTCTATTATTATACA